GACTAGCTTGTGTGCTCCATGACTGTCCTTGCGCCAGAGGGTGTCGTTGTCGAGGAAGAATTGCATGCAGTACTTGATGAATCCTTCGTAAACACTTTCGGAGATGTTGTCGGGCTTTGCTAACGTTCGATGAAATTCGAGCACGTCGTCGAGCTTCGCGTCGGCGAGTTGCGCTTGCTCCAATCGAGGCACTAGCTCGTAGCTATCCTCCTCCCTATTGAAATCTGAGCCGTCCTCGGCTCTGTCATTGGTGAAGATGGCTAGCAACTGGATGGACGGGAGGGGCTGGATCTGGTGAACGAAAGAATGCATCTGGTCGATCCAGTCGTCGAACTCTTCGTCGACCTCGTCTTCGATGACATCACCGGGTTGAGCTGTGCGCCGAGAGAGACCGTCGGGGCCGTGCATTGTACCGGGGACGTGGACTAACGTGAAATGGAATGTGAGAATCGAGACAATCCACCGGTTGATACTCGCGCTTGGGGCTATGTCCGGATTCTTCAGCATACCCTTGATGTACCGAGCATCGACTTCGACGATGAGGTTCCGAACGCCGATCAGGTAGAGTCAAAGGGATCGTAGTGCGCGGAATAGGCCGTAGATCTCGAGCTTCGGCTGTGAAAACCTCCGTTCGCGATCGTTGAGCGTGATCGAGCCGAACCTGCTGTAGTAACGCACTCACGTGTTGGCTTCGTCGCACTGGCAGAGGTGATATCCGACGGCGATGAACGACGTGTCGACTGCGAGAATGACGGGAGAGGGGGACTCATAATTGATGGCTCGGAGTGCGGGGGATGAGAGTAGCGCGTCCTTGAGGTCTTCCTGCGCTGCGATTTGCTCCGGACCGAACTCGAACTCGACGTCCTTCCTCGTGAGGCGTACGAGCGCGTCGGCGCGGTGAGTGAAATTACGGATGAAGATACGAACGACTCCGATGGTTCCGAGGAACGCTCGAACGTCGGATAGAGTAGCGCAGGGACCCCAGTTGCATATCGAAGCGACGCGAGAGTCGTCGGGGAGGCGTCCTTGAGGAGTGCAGCGATGTCCTACCACCATGATTTCTCGAGCGATGAGGACGCTCTTGACTCCTGAAAAGGTACCTCCAGCATAGCACATTCGAGTGACTACACAGTTCATGTTCTCGAAATGCTCCCATACGAAGCGTCGAATGCCGCGGTTCGAAGGGAGCCGTTCGTTGTCGTAGTCTGATTCGGGACCCTTGACGGGGACGTCGTCGACGTAGGGCACCGTAACGTGTGGGATCTCGGGCTGGAGGATGTAGGTGACGTCGTCGTGGCAGATCGGGACTGAGTTCGTCCAACCCATCGGGAGTGTCACGAGGCGCATGGCCCCGTAGGGTGTCTGGAATGTTGTTAGATCTCTCGAAGATTCGGCGATGAGTCGCTCGTCGTAGCCGACGTAAAGGTCGAGCATGCCGCCGCCCCGAATTGTTCTGCGAGGTATTCGGGCGTCGGCGGTACACCGGAATGTTGGATCGTAACTGCATTGAGGGGCTCGAGGGAATGGACGAGTCGAAGAGATTTACCGTCCTTCTTGACGACACAGAACCACCGTGATCGATACGACGAGTTCGATGGCTCGTAGACTCCGGCGGCGATCTTTCGCTTGATCACCGCGCAGACTTCGTTGTAGATCCCGGGCGGAATGGGGATATTCTTCTGCACCCAGGGCGTGTGAGGAACAACGGGGAAATCGACGGGGGGGAAGTACTCGGGCTTGAAGCATCCGCGCTCGTCGTCGGTCCAGGCGAAGGCTTCGTTGTGCAGGCACATGAAGTGGTGGAGGACTCGACGTTCGTCGGGAAGTAGGAAGTCACCGTCGTGAAGTTTCTCGGTCATTTCGAAGCGTTCGAGGGTGTACCGACCGGTAGGTTTGAACGGCGGGGGGTCGGTCGAAAGCTTAGGCATAATGGAGAGAGGGTCGCCCTTGATGTCTCGAAGTATTCGAAATTGTTCGGGTACGGCACCAAGGACGGGTCTGGTTTTGAGAGCGACAGGCTTGTATTTCTTCTTCGTCGCGGCGAGTATCTTGTGCGTTGAAGGGGTAGAACTCGATGTCGTCGAAGGAAAAGGAAGAACCGAGTTGGAGAACTGCGAAATGGATTTCGTTGGAACG